CATTGTGACACATTAAAACTAACATTTTTTACATACAGCCCCAAATTTATACCCAGTGGTATAATCTGGTGTTCACTAGTTACCATGCCTAGTGTGCAGAAAAGCTCCATGTCCCTCCTGTACACAAGTACTCAGATTCTTTGCTGTGACTTTTCATGTTAATTTACCAATGACAAACTTAAGTCTCTGAGGATGTTTACAATAATGATACAGAGAGACCAGACGTAATAAAGTTCTCGAACTATTCTTCTGGCACAATCATTTTGCATTTAGCAAAATATCTTCCCACCTACTGGTGCGTCCTGGTTGCTCAATCGCTATCGCTTGTATAGTATAATATGTAATTGCCCTCATGTTTTGCCACAGGACAGAGAGTAAATGTTCTGTCATCTTTGCATGAGTGTAATATGAAGATTGTACAAAGTAACATATCTAGAGCAACACTGTGAAAGTGAACGGCACATAACACGCACATGCTGGTATATAACCATAGATATCTGTCGGCACAAAATGCTTCACATGACTAAACAAAAACCTGCATTTTCACGTTCCACGCTACAACACGTTTTCAAATGTATCCACTTGAGAGCAGGGTTGCCAGGTTTTCACAACAAAACCCGCCCAATTGCTACTCAAATCTAGCCCAATCGAGTTTCGAGGGGAGTCCCGAGGTAAAAATTGCGCTCCGAGGGGTAAAATACATGTTTTTTAGGCAGGGTTCCCCTGGTAAAATTTTCATTTTAGGGGTTAAATGTCATGTTATTGGGTTCGTTTAAACCCGCTGTCAAGAAAAACAACCCGCGGCAACAGTGTTAAAGTAGCCCGATTCCGCGGGAAATCTGCAAACATGGCAACACCATGTTACTCAAAATGCTCAGTTTTCACAGAACAAACACGCAGTCTTAGTGTGGATAAAAAGCTACAATTTAGAGAACAAGATGTGTTTTAAAATGTATTGGAATTAGTGTAGATGTAGCCTAAATGACCTCGAGTGGCTCAGAAAACGCTTGGAATTTAATCTGGTTACACTTTATTTCGATAGTCCACTTTAGACATTCTACTAACTATAAGTAACTTTGTAACTACATGTCAACTACATGTCAACTAATTCGCATCCATTTGCAACTACATGTCTACTAACTCTCAGAGTAGACTGTTAGGGTAGGTTTAGGGTTAGTAGAATAAGTTGACAAAGAAAGTGTTAGAAGATATTAAGCAGACAGTCTACTAATACTCTACTAACTGCCAGTTGACATGTAGTTGCAAAGTAACGTACTGTTAATAGAATGTCTAAAGTGGACTATCGAAATAAAGTGTTACCTTTAATCTTATTGAATGATTTGTGTTGGAACTCAGATTAACAATCTGATCACAAGTGCTCCTCATCTACATGAGACTCTACATCAGGGGTGTCCAGTCCTGCTCCTGGAGGGCCACTGTCCTAAAAGTTCAAGGTCTTCAGGATTACCAACTAGAAACTTCTAGGAGAGTCTGTAGAGGCAGGTTGGACGCTGGCCCTCCAGGAGCAGGACTAGACACCCCTGCTTTACAACGGTGCTTCTCAAACCTGTCCTGGGGACTCCAAACTACTGCACATTTTACATGTTTCCCTCATCAGTCACATGCAATTCAAGTCTTTTAATCTCTAATCAGCTGGTGAGTTGAATCAGGTATGTTAGATGAAGAAGACCTGGTGGGTCTTCTCCAGGACAGGTTTGAGCAGCACTGTTCTACAGGATCTGCAAGGAAGAAACTTTCCAGTGATTTCTCTTTTTAGCAGTTTGCGCTCTCTCTGTCTGTCTGTCTAGATCTGGCATAAGAACAAGAAGCTGAAGTGTCTTAATCTGACGACTCTCAACAAACATGGCAAAGTGTATGAAGATGGTAAGAGGAAAACATCCACAACCTGTTACCAAAAACAGCATATCAGGGCTCTAGACTGACTAAATGGTCACATTGTAAATAGTGGCACAGTCTTAATAGTGCAGCACAGGGGTGATGCAGAAATGAAACTTTGTGAAGCACAGAAGGCATTCCTCTCAACTGTATCACAAAGAGGGTCATTACTCAAAGCTTTTACAGCACTGTCTGCGCTGTGGCCATATTGCGGTCAAAAGAATCAGTAGCACCTACTCTGCCACATGGCTTTGTCTCACTACAGCCGCTTATTTCACATCTGGTTCTGCAGCTGAGCAGTCATGTGGTTCTCAGCTGAATATAGCTTTGGATGTCATGGATCACATGCTTTAGGCAAAAACGTATTATGCTCAGCTTCAGTGTTTTTGCTGTTTGTTTTTCTAACGCAAGCTTCAGCGTCGAGCGTAACATCGCTACAGCTCAGGCCATTTTGAACATTCAAATTTGACAGGTTTTCTCTTCCACTATTCTAATTTGTGACCCTGGACCACAAAACCAGTCATAAGGGTAAATTTTTTGAAACTGAGATTTATACATCACCTGAATAAATAAGCTTTCCATTGATGTATGGTTTGTTAGGATAGGACAATATTTGGTGAGATACAACAATTTGAAAATCTGGAATCTGAGGGTGCAAAAAAAATCAAAATATTGAGAAAATCATCTTTAAAGTTGTTCAAATAAAGTTCTTAGCAATGCATATTACTAATCAAAAATTAAGTTTTGATATATTTACGGTAGGAAATTTACAAAATATCTTCATGGGACATGATCTTTACTTAATATCCTAATGAATTTTGGCATAAAAGAAAAATTTATGATTTTGACCCATACAATGTTTTGTTGGCTATTGCTACATATATACCTGTGCTGCTAATGACTGCTTTTGTGCTCCAGGGTCACATATTATTCATGTAGAGCCCTGAATGTGTTCATTCACCCATCAGATTACCCGACATACATTAACACATTATAAAAATGACTGATAACGACATATGGAGTGTGATACAGTATGAGGAAAGTCAAACAATGACAAACAAAATATGAATTTTTAAATAGACAATTGCCTTTATCTTCCTTGCTTTTGTTAGTTGATGGCAGGGAATATAAAGGCCATTTTACACTGTAGAAGTCAATGACAGCCCATAGAACCATTCGAAGGAAAATTATGAAATTTTGCATATGATCATGACCAAGTTTGTATTTATTTTGTTTGTTCTTACTTGTCTCTTCATCATGGCTTACGTTTCAAATAAATGTCTGATTATTTTATCTTACAAAAAATTGGCACAATACATTGCTGAACTGAGCCACATAAAAATGACTGATGATATTTTTTTTATTTTTCCCTACAGTTATGAAGTAAATATCAATATAGACCCTAAACAGGAAGTGAGGCTGTATCTGGACCATGCTTTGGTCTGTTTAAATTAAATTGGTAGACAATATTTGGCACCATAATCTTGCTGAGTGTGCTTACATTGCCACCTACAGGCCAAGAAACTTGAAAACCTTTGCATAGCTTGTGTCCTAAAATCAAGCTCTTGTGTGTTAATGTAACCGCATTCAGCATCAGAAGCAGACACGGTCTGATAATCTTGATAATCAGGGTTCTCTGTTCTCAGATCAGTTTGGCTGTATGGTCTGGTCTCATTCAGAGACTCACCTCCTATATGTAGCTGAGAAGAAACGACCCAAGACAGAGTTGTACTTCCAGGTCACGAATGCAGATGATTACACAAAACCCACATGCTTTCTAACGATTCATTCTATGAGTACATTCTTCATCTGACCTCATGTTCCCTTAAACTGCAGGGGCCTGAGACGGGTTTGCTCGCTGATGAAGAGGAGACCATTAAGACAGACTAGAAGGAGGAAACAGTCCTGGTACAAGTTTGTGCCATCTTCTTTTACTGTAGTTTGGTTAATAATTTCAGGTAGATTTGTGTTGGGAATGACTGTGTATGTGTCTGTGGCAGGGTCAGCAGTTTGAGTATTATGAAGACTGGGGCGAAGAACTTGTGAATAAAAGCAGCCCAGTGCTCTGTGTGCTGGACATCGAAGGCAGTAACATCACTGTTCTGGAAGGAATACCCACCAACATCTCCCCAGGACAGGTACACTCTCTGTGTTTGTGTTTTAGACATGGGTTCAAAGTAAGGTGGCACAGATTTGCTGAAAATGATATTGTGGTTATTTTGATATTTTATATTGATTTCCCCTGTAATAAGCTTTAAAGTGGTCATCGGATGCCCATTTTCCACAAGTTGATATGATTATTTAGGGTCTTAATGAAAAGTCTGTAACATAGTTCGGTTAAAATCTCTCAATGGTAGTGTAAAACAACACCGTTTTTACCCTGTCAATAACTGCTCTGTCGACAGCACGCTGTTGTACTGCATTTCGCTTTAAATGCAAATGAGCTCTGCTTGCCCCGCCCCTCTCTTTCGAAGCCACTCTCTGAGAGACGGTAAACTTTAGCCACATTCATCACAAAACTCGCTAACTAGCACATTATTAGGAAAGGCGATTTGCAAAGATTCATAAAAACCCTTATACTCGCTTCTTCTGGAGGTGAAGCTGGATCACGAATGATTCGCGCGAACATAAACGCATTTACTGTATGTAGATCGGGGGGCGTATTCCCTTCAGAAACAAATGTAATCCACTGTCTTCAGCGGCTCAGATGTCGGGAGTAAATGATGACTGCTATGTTCATTATTACATCCAACAACAGAACACCTCAATCGCTTAGGAGTCATTCTTGTCTACATCTGCTCTGGCGTCGAAACAATAGGCCTATTTCACAACGTGAAAGCAAACCGGAAGTAGGGAAAAATATTTTCCGGTGAAAGCGCTAGCCGAACAGTGGCGGAGTCCAAAAGTAATCAGTCGTGTAGTGTACCTTTGTGTTCTAATTCAAAGAAAAAGCAACCTTACTTATCATTTCATAGTTTTCCCATCGACGAAAATTTAAGAAAGCGTTGGATGTGGGCCATATGGAGAAAAGATGGGACATTTACTGTGAGGAAAGGTAGCACTTTTGTGCTAACTGTTAAGCACTTCACGGATGATGAGCTGTGCCTTCCAGGTTTGCATGGAACAGTTGGGGAGAAGTTAAATCACGCTAGACTCGGACATCAAAAGGAGGTGTTCGTGGTGCAGAGAAAGCAGTAAATGTCGAAATGGAGAGTGTTGGTGCATGATTACAACAGCCGTCCAGCCCCGGGTGAGTATAGCGTTAACTAATACAATAACTAAATTAAAATAAATAAATAAAAACATAAAATTTTAATAAAAATCTAACTCTTTACTTGTAATCAGCAGTATCCTCTCAGATTCTGAACACATCAACCCCTCCTGACATGTCATCTTTCCAGTTTAGGATAGGTATGTTACAACAATATATTTTCAATATTTGGAAATAAAGATCTGAGTAAGACCTATCATAAAGCTTAATCTAAATCAAATGGTTACAAGTTATAAAAAAATCCCGCAGTCTACAGTGAACATTATTTACTTTTAATGTAATTAATTGAAGCATGACTTATAGGGGTAGTTCACCCAAAAATGAAATTTGTCATTTACTCACCCTCAAGTTGTTTCGAATTTGTTCTGTTGAACGTAAAAATATGTTTTGCCTATTTTCTTCCTAGCAAAACATCAATGTATGTGCCAAAGTAGAATTCATCAACTTTAGCCTTGATCTCTTTGACCAGCTCATCGTCTCTACACACCCTATCTACATTGAAGTCACCCCTTGTATTTGTCACCAGATCACACCAAGCTAAGCCAGTAACCATCAGCTGACCTTGGACTTGCCAATGGTAGGTGTGTTTTTCTTAGTTTTGCTTGGCCCCCAACAAATTCAATGTGTGATGCCTCTCCAATGTCTTTCACATCAGGGCACTTAACTTCTACCAGGCCATAGGAAGGTTCTTCATTTGGGTGCACCACTTTGCCATCTGGACTTGCACTAAGGTGTGGAGCATCTGGGTGGATGATGAAACCAGATGGAAGAACATTAACATCAAAGGTCTCAGCTAGGGCTGAGCGATTTGTCAAAAAATTTAAAAATCTATTTTTTCAGAACATTTGACCGATTCTCGATTTTTTTACAATTTTTAACTAGTCAACTTGAAAATGTAGCTACAACATGATTCAAGTAACTTTTTCTTTATTAACCCTCTAGTTAAAGAAATTATATTCCAAGTGCAGCACACAGTTGTCAACATGATGTAAATGTTAAACAAATCACTTGTTAAATATCTTTGCAGAAACGATGCATTGCTTTGGTGTGGGGGGCACCTTTAATGATCCGGCCAGCCCGTGTCATTGCAGTGGATTCGGACCTCACATGAGCTGCTTCATAGAACTTGCTTGCTGTAAGTCAAGGGCAATGCATTCTAACCCATAGTGGGCTTTTTGATTGATCACGTGTTCCCCCCTAAATGATCCCTGTCATTTCAGATGTCACCTCCAGACTC